CACTCTGCCGAACAAGGCCTAAGGGCCCGTTCACTTCGTGCATTACACTCAAATAAAGTGAACTCGAGTTTGTTTTTTGGCTGAAATAAGCGTTTGCTTACCCAAACTTGAATTTAAAATTCGAGTAATAACTCGAGTAGGTAAACTTCACCGTCCCCTCAAACTCTCATTACTCGAGTTATTTTCTACAGTGCTCTTCTGACATTTCTCTTCCCGTTGGATTCCTGTTGCCTCACGAGAAAGCTCTGCCTGCTCTGCAAAAAGCTTGCAGATTCCCCTCAATGAGACCAACGATTAATCCACTATGAAATCGCTTGGACCGCTGCACACCATTCCCACAAGTGTGTTCTTCTTGGACCGCTGTGAAATCGCTTCATCCACCAAACTCACCCACGGTGAAGTTGCTCGCAGGTACATCCCATATAAACCCAGCCCAAATCGGCAATATTGGTGAATCCCGATCCCTATATTCCTTTGTTGCCTTCTCCTTCAGTGATTCAACACGGGAGAAATTGATCCCACGCGAGTGAGCCGGCTTCCTCCGTTGGCCGTGCTCCTGCGTCGATGTAGCGCCAAACGCCGTCTCCGACCTCCGAAGCGTGCTCCTAGAAATAGAGCTTTCTGTTGTCGGTGCCGGTATCCATCTCTTCACCGACGTCCATCACAGTCGCGTTTGGGGGTTGTCGAAGCAGATCAACCATTGTCCTCTTTCGGATCAAACACGGTAAGACCTTTTCTTTGACTGATTTACACTTCCATTGCCTCTGCATATGCCAGTGGATGATTACACTGCTAAATCTGAACATTGTCGTTTTTATTGGATTTCTTTTATTTGGATGTCGTTTACACTGAAGTTTAGCATGTTCATTTTAAATTCATTTCATGAACTTGTATGATTGTCGTTGCATACTTTTCTATAGTTGTTTGAGTTATTAGAAGCTCTTCATACGCTAGTTTTGACAATTTCACTAAATACAATGGTATGAAGCATGTTTTGTTGTTTGAATACTTAGGCAAATCTGAGATGCAAATTTCCTTCCCGACATACAGTAGTTACTTGCTATAAGACATATGTTTACCAACAACTTACACAGAAACAGAACTTTGATGGATGAAAACTAGAATGAAATGTGTTATTAAAGGCCCAGCAATGTGTTATTTTGTGATACATTGATAAAGAAATGTGTTTACTCCTGATGTGACAAGCTTTGGTGAGAGATTTCCTGAGAGATTGTTATCACTAAGACCCAGAAACCTCAGCCTCTTTGATTCTGATATGGACTCTGGAATCTCTCCTATACGGCCTGTGCTGGAGAGATCCAATGTGACTAATTTCTCCACCTTTTCCCACTCTAGGCTCATTAAGTCCCCACCAATTGGGTGATTGTCGTTATTTTTAATTTGAAAACCTTTAACATATGCTAATAATACATTTTCTTTCATTCTTCAATTCTCAGAAATCTTGCAGCGGGCAATAAGATTGTTGGCTATTAGATCACGTGCAGTGCTTATTGTTTCACTTTCAAATGTTTGTCCATTTTATTTATATATAATAATACAATAATTAGTTAATTTTATATAACTCGTTTGCCTACCTTGTTGTCGTATTGGCTGTCCTGTGGCCGTGTTTAGCTTATTGCCTCCCTTGTTGTTGTATTGTCTCTCCTGTTGCCGTTTATACCTAAGCTTATTACCTACCCTGTTGTCATACTGGAGTTATCTTATTACTATTATTTGTTGAATATGCAGATTGCAAGAATTACATGGAACAAGTGTTGTCTTCTGATTTGGTGCCCATGGGGAACGACATTAGGCATTGTTTGATGTCCTTTACTGTCATAAGCCAAGTTTGTTGCATTGTTTTGTGCCTCTGCCTAAACCCGGTGGATGATTACACTGCCAACTCCACCTATTCGTCGTTTTCATTGTGTCTCCCTTACTTGGATGTCGTTTACACTAAAGTGTACAGCATGTTCATTTTAAATTCTTGAAATGAAGTTGTGTAATGCCTCTGCATAATGTTGTGTAGTTGTTTAAGCTGCCTCACGTCAAATGTTTGCAAGAGTATTTAACATTGGCTTATGTAGGTCCAGAAAATGAAGATAAATCCAATGCAATATCTTGTGTAAGTGGTGAGTTTAGTTGTGTGCAAGTGAACACATAACTCAAGTTTTAAATGTCACATCAATCTCTTACTAAACACTTAACTCAAAATTCACATTACAACTCTAATTAAAAATAACTCAAGTTCACTTTTCTTACTCAAATCATAAAATTGGAGTTAGTGAAGTGAACGGGCCCTTAAGTTTCTCCTTCAATTTGAGTTTATAAATTTGAACTCAAGTTAATGAACATTATTTTTTCTATTTTTAAAAATATCATAATTTTTTCGTTTTAATTCTGATTGAGATGATTTTTTTTCTATGTATTCACAATAAAAAGACGAATAAAATTCCACCCATATACCCTATTAAAATTTTTCATCACCATTGAGTTTTTATTAAAATACTATATAAATACAAATTTAAGTTTTGACCCACCCAAATACAAACTCAAAAAGATTCTCAATTCAAACCATAACTTATGTGCACATTCAAATACAAACTCAAGTTACAATTTCAACTCAAGTTATAACTCAAACTCAACTCAAGATCATCACTCAAGTCACCCTAACTCAAAAATACAAAAGAACAACCCCGAAAGCTCCTCTAGATGAGTACTCCGATGAATAATGTTGTCTCGTTGTGGTTCAAGTTTTTAATTTAAGTTTAAAATTGAACATAATTATTTGAGAGAAAATACCATCTCATATGAAATTAAATTTAAATTTATGAGAAAATTATTATAACATAAATTTAAGTTGTAATTCGAACCAACGCAATGAATGGGGTCTATTTTTACTTTATTTTTTTTAATACAAACTGTTGTGATGTATGATAATTTGTCATTTTTTTTATTGATAAGCACTTAGGGTCTGTTCTTTTGGAGTGTGACTTGAGTGTAATTCTTGAGTTGAATTTGAGTTATAACTTGAGATGAAATTGTAACTTGAGTTTGTTTTTGGTTGTGTACATTTGAGTTATGGTTTGAGGTGAGAATCTTTTGAAGTTTGTGTTTGAGTGTATAATAACTTGAGTTGTGAATAGTGAGGAGAGAAAATAGCATATATTTCTTATTTGAATTTATTTAATTAAAAAAATAAAAAATGGCATAACTTGAGATAGTGTTGATTTGCTCGTCAACATAAAAAAAAATAAAAATAAAAACATAAAATAAACAACTCTCTCTCCTCTCTTCACGACATTCTCTCCTCTTCTCTCTCCGGCGAGCACAAGTCCTGTGAGCCCAGGTCCGGCAAGTCCATACCCCCGTGCTATTCTCTTTCTCAACCAACTCGCTCTCTCTCTTCTCTCTTTCTCTCTCGAATAACTCCCTCTCTCTCTTCTATCTCCGGTGAGCCTAGCCCAGCCCAGGTCCGGCGAGCACAGGTCTGGCAAGTCCATCGCGATCCTGCCTAGCCCCAAACCGAGCCCCGGCACAGCCCCATCGCAACCCTAACCCCATCCATCGCGATCCGCCTAGCCCCGAGCTCAACCCCTTACTCGAATAAATTTTTGAGTGTGGGTTCGAGTGAGCTAACGGCGAAGCCAACTTCGCCCAAGTTATTCACTCAAGTATAGCTAACTTGAGTGAGTTTTGTTTACCGAACGCACCCTTAAAAATTTCTCATGTGAATAACAATAATAATAAAAAGACATGTCACTTTGTCACATAACTATTGAAAATCAATATCTAATATAGTACTTTTTATGTCCATGCTAGCGTTTCTTCTCTTAGCTTTCTCCGATTTGAGCTTTTAATTTTAATTTTCTAGAGTAAAAAACTCTCAGAATAAGTCACATTAATATTTTTTGTTACAATTAAAAGCTCTCATGAAAGTTACATCTCAACTAGAATTGAAAACTCGAATTGAAGAACTGAATTAGGCTCATTTCACAATTATTTGGCACTTATTCCTTCAAATTTAGACTTCAACGCTAACAATGGCCGGGTATTGAAACATATATTTGTTCCTTCATGAACTGATCCTTAATTTTTTTTAGGGAGTTTTCACGGAATCAATAATGCTATAGTCTAAACATACAATAAAAAATTAAAGTGAACTCAATATGAAGCATATGTGTGTGTGTGTGTGTGTGTGTGTATATATATATATATATAATCAAATATGAGAAAGAAGATAGGCCACTTAGCAGTATAAAAAATATTTTTATCATAGTGGAATCTTTCTTATAGGACTAAGTATTACGAAATTAGTATCTTTGCATTACGAAATCTTTTGTCAATTGGCTTTACAAACAGAAAAAACTGCATCCTAAAGTGACTTTAACAATATACTCTTTTTCAATTTAGAGAAAAATGTTGAGCTTATTTGGATCTGAATTTTTACACCTTATTCTTAATTAATATACTTTTAACTAATATAATTATTTGATTAAAAAAATATTAATAATGAATAATAGGTAAAAAAAAACGAGCTCCATAAACTCTAAACAACATTTATCTCATTTTTCCTTTTATTTATAATCATTATAGTCTAGCATTTCCTTCATCTCTCTTTTTTAAGAGAAAAAAAATTTAAAAGAGTACTTTATTAGCCTTTACTGCCTTTTCAGTTTTAACCGAATCAGAACTGAGAACCAAATGCAAATGGCATATAAATATAAAGCTTTTATTTATTTATTTATTTAAAAGGTCACAAGAAAGCGTTGCAGCCAAGCGCCATTCTTACACATGTTAGTGGTCCACTTGATAAGGAAAACTATTTTAAACAGGAGTCTGGAGCAACTTTGCTAGCTATCTCATTGGCTAGCAGCTTTTATTTGGCTAAGTTATTGGTCACGGGCAAATTACCTGTATAGTTGCGATTGACAATATGTCTATATATATATATATATGTATGTATGCTCAGTCCAACAACATACATGAGACTACTGAAGCAGTGAAAGAGAATTAAGGTGGTGAGGCTTTGGGAATTAGACAGAAGACATCATGTTCGATTTACGAAGCCCCGCAAGTAAGTGCTTGTCTAGTTCTTAGCAGCTTCACCAGAGCTTTCTTTCTTTAATTTCACACGTAAAAACACATGAAAGCACCCTTGAATTCTCACTTTCCTGCTCTCGTGTTCACTCATCTTTCTATACTTCCAACATTAAGAGAAAACCATTTCATCTTTCTCTCTCTCTCTTTCTTCTTAAATTATTGTGACCGGAGCAAAGTAGCTGCCACTTTTCTAAAAGAAAAAAACACACTAGTACCACCGATTCAGAGCATCACAACTAATAAAAGATGAATTTTAAATCTAATTAACTCGTAAGATAAGATTATATTATACTAGAGTATGGTGTTCAACATTATTGATGTCTTTTAGTATTGTAATTCTTTGTAAATGGAATGCAAATCAATTAATTAGTTACTTGCTTGTAGGTATTAAATTAATGCAATTTTTTTTTTTTTTTTTGGGTGTGTGTTTGTGTAAGTGAGCAGTTCTTTCCCGTGGGCCTGCAATTATTTTTTCGGGTTATGCTTTCTATGCTGGCTTAACAAATATGTTTTGTTCCTAGCTAGGGCTGTTTCTCGGACTTGTCGAGAGAATATTATTGCTACGTTGTGTCGATTTGTCTTTTGTTGAGCCTTTTATAAACGTTTCCAGCTGGTTGTAGGCGTTTAAATTCATGGAATGATTCATACTAAATATATATGTGTGTGTGCGTGTTGCATTGCATCATGTCAATTTCATAGATTGGTGCCCAATACCAGTCAGCTCATTAATTTAAAAAAAGACTTACTTGCTTATTATTTACTTTGAAAGTACTATATATATATATAATATAATATAAATTACGGTTGTTTACAACAATTTCGTTTTCTAGTTCCTATTTCTATAAAATATAATTTTTAAATATTGAAAGTCACTTTCCGATGTGATCAAGTACTTCTTTTTCTGCGCATATTATGATGCAAGCCCCTATTAGTCAGTCAATTACCTTTTCTTTAGTGAATAATTGTTATGTGAACTATTTGCTTTTAATTTTGTACTCTTTCTTCTTCATATTCTCTTTGTTTGATGGGGGACCTACTATGCCGAGAAAAAAAACCCGTGTAGCCGGACAGAAACAATAGCCTTTCTTGGTGGGTCCCATCAAGGGGAGCCTATTATTCCTGATATATATATATATATGTATATATTAGTCTTCTCGTTGACTCTTGTCCATTGTTAATTGGAACAAGCAAGTAAGAGAACTAAGAGCTTATCCTCTTCATTTTGTATTGGAAGTATAGATGAAAGCACCCCTATACATATATATGTGTGTGTGTGATATCTTTCCTTCGGCAAAAGCTTGTAAACTAATTTGGCAAACTTAACTAAGGTAATTTGACAAATAATTTAGTATACAAATGCTAAGACGCTCCAACTGGAACGATGCTACAGTCTGTAGAATTCATAAATAAAAATATTTTTTTTATCAGTGATAGTGTTTAATAATGACGGTGTCTCTAAGTATTTTTTTATAAAAACATAGAGCCTCATTTCATATTATGAATTGCTAGGTTACCTACCCCACATAAGACAAAATGGTGGGTCTTAGAAGAGGAACACATCATCTTGCTTGTGGTGTAGGATAGACTAGGACCTACCGTATTCTAAAGGGAAAAAAAAAAAAATGCTTAACTTGCTCTTGTCTTTTTTTAACTTCCCTTTCCTTTGTTGAAATCACACCCATAGCCATCGCCACTATCTTCCTGCTCAGAATTTCTTCTCTTCATCCTATTTTTTATGATTGTAATGTGTAAAAGATAGAAATATAAAAAGACCTCATAAGTAGGTACATGTGATGAGTTTAATTGTCTAAAAAGAAGTCAAAACAATAACATTTGGGATACAAAATAATAACACAATATATTGTCTAGTGTCTACCGTCCCTACAATCCTTCAAGAGCTTTTTTTTTTGGTTGCATTCTAATAATTGGAAATATGCACCTTATAATCGTTTGCCGTTCATTTTCTATTCATTAAACACCTGTACCTAACAATCCAGTCAATCATCTGTTTGATTGGAACAAGCACTCAAAACACTCCCATCACTATGCCTTCTTTCTACATCATCATCCACTACCCAAATGAAAAGCAAATATTACATACAATTTTCAACTCAAATCCAAAAGTAGATTTCAGCTTCAGTTTTGTAGGTTAAAAAATGGACAAAAAATGACTTCTTTCACTACTTTTTTTAATTGGATTGTTCTGTTGTCATATCATTAATGCTCCACTACATGTTCTATACAGTTTAATCTGATCGATTTATGAATTAGTCACGTCGCTTTATGTCTTTTCTTGCCATTATGTGTTTTCTTATTTTCTTGTCATTATGTGTTCATAATAAGACACTCCATAGTCCCACTAATGGGTTGCGCAGTGGTGGACTGATGATAGTTGGAGAGAAAATTGAATTCGAACTTCAAATAAAATTTGATTAGGTTCTTTCCGTTTCATTGGTAAGTCACGGTATTTCTAAAATATAAGAGATGAAAGACGGGATTAGGATTAAACTAATGGTGGAGGAGCCTCTTGCTGTCTATAGCTCAAAGAATTAACCATGTCAATAACCTAATCCCTTCACAACAATCACATATCTCTTAACCTAATCCAATACGATGAAGCAAATCCATTGTCAGTCTAGCCTGTGTAAATACTTTTACTGGGTTGAAGCTCTAAGTAGTAAGAAGTATAATTTTATAATCATATAAAAGTCTATTAGATAGGAGACCTAATTTAGATTATGATCATATTTTATTTTTAAGTATCACAGAAGGAGCAAATTTTTTATTTTTTATTTTTTATTTTTCCTTTTTCTAGTTTGTCTGAAAAGTGAAAAAAGGAAAATTTTTAGTTAGACGTTTTGCACCAATTTTCAGTTAGAAGTTGCTAAATTTTGTACATTTAGCAGTTGTTTATAGATGATGAAGCTGTACTAATTAGTGCATGTTAAATCAGTATACAATACATATCATTTCATATATAATATTTGCAAGAATGCAGCAAACTGATACATTGTTCCTCATTGAAAGGGAAAAACAATAGAGATAAGATAAAAACAAGCATTTCTTACGAAGATGTCAATAATCAAATATGCATATTGAAAGTAAAAGAAACGTGAACTTGATCAGTTTTTCAATGCTTGACAGGTTTAACTCAGCTTCTTCAGTTCCAGCCCGCATGGCTGCAACAAAATTTTCCCTGCTTAGGAGAGCAGATCAGCATAGTGGTGCAGCTAGGATTTCTTGGAACCTTCATACTTCATTCGGCGTTGAAAAGTATTGGCCGAGTACGAAAACATGGAACAGACTTTGCAGATCAAGGTGTAGAGAAGTCTTCGATTCCAATCAGCTTCAGCACCATTTGTATATTGATGATGGCCTGTTCCCTTGCATTGATGGGGGCTCGTATTTCAGTGATTCTAATGCTGCTCAATGGAAGTAGAAACTATTGCAAGCGTAGAATCTACGCGTTTTCCTCTGAGGCTTTGCAAGTTTTATTTTGGGCAGCATCAGCTATTGCAGTCCATAAGGTTGTCAAGAATGAGCTCATCAAGTTCTCTTGGCTGCTAAGATCATGGTGGCTTTGGAGCTTCGTCATGTCTATGATCCATGTGGCTTTTGATACGCATCTCCTGATCACGAACCGCAGCGAGCTTAGACTACGAGATTATGCAGATTTCTTCTGTTTTCTTGTATCCACCTGCCTATTTGTTGTTTCAATCAGAGGAAAAACGGGCATTGTACTACATGAACCAAATGGTATCACTGAGCCATTTCTCAATGGTAAAAGTGATAAACATATAGAAAACAAGAGGGAATCTGCATATGCGAAAGCTTCTCTTCTCCAACTTGTAACATTCTCTTGGCTCAACCCCTTGTTCGCCGTTGGATTCAGGAAGCCACTTGACCCGAACGAAATCCCGGATCTTGATATCAAAGACTCTGCTGCATGCCTCTCTAGCTCCTTTGATGAGAGTCTCAAGTGTGTTAAAGAAAAAGATGGAACCACAAATCCATCCATCTATAGGGTAATTTGCACATTTGCCTGGAGAAAAGCGGGGATAAACGCGTGTTTTGCGGTGATAAATGCAGGCGCCTCATATGTTGGTCCATATCTTATCAACGACTTTGTGAGCTTTCTTAGTGAGAAAGAAACTAGAAGCTTGAAAAGTGGGTACTTTCTTGCACTAGCCTTTTTAGGTGCAAAGATGGTTGAGACAACAACACAAAGGCAGTGGATTTTTGGGGCTCGACAACTAGGCCTGCGCCTTAGAGCTGCTTTGATATCTCACATCTATAGAAAGGGGTTAGCTCTTTCAAGCCGATCCCGACAAAGCCGAACTAGTGGGGAGATGATCAACTATATGAGTGTAGATATCCAAAGAATCACAGACTTCATGTGGTACTTAAACATAATTTTTATGTTGCCTGTCCAGATCTCCTTTGCAATCTTCATTCTCCACACAAACTTGGACTTGGGTTCTATGGCTGCATTGGCCACAACTTTATTGGTTATGTCTTTGAATGTACCGCTCACCCGAATCCAGAAGCGATATCAAACGGAGATCATGGAGGCCAAGGACAATAGGATGAAAGCCAATTCAGAAGTGCTTAGGAACATGAAAATACTCAAGCTTCAAGCATGGGACATTCAGTTCCTTCACAAGCTAGAAGGACTGAGGAAATTGGAGTACAATTGTCTGTGGAAACTGATAAGAGTATCTTCTGTTACAGCTTTCATATTCTGGGGAGCGCCTACATTAATCTCTGTGGTGACTTTTGGCTCATGTATTCTGATGGGGATTGAGCTCACGGCCGGGAGAGTTTTGTCGGCGCTGGCCACTTTCCGGATGCTGCAAGATCCTATCTTCAATCTTCCTGATTTGCTCAATGTGATTGCACAAGGAAAAGTTTCAGCAGATAGAGTAGCTTCCTTCCTTCAAGAAGAAGAAATTCAGCAAGATGCCATTCAGTATGTTCCGAAATGTCTGACAGAGTTTGCAGTTGAGGTGCATAATGGGAAATTCAGCTGGGAACCAGAGTCAAGAATCCCAACTCTTGATGGAGTAAACTTGAGAGTGAAGAGGGGAATGAGGGTGGCGATTTGCGGGACTGTAGGGTCGGGAAAGTCTAGCCTGCTCGCGAGCATTCTTGGAGAAATGCACAAGCTGTCAGGGAGTGTGAAGATCAGTGGCACAAAGGCATATGTTCCTCAGACTCCTTGGATATTGACAGGAAACATTAGGGAGAATATTTTGTATGGGAATGAGTATGACAGTGCCAAGTACGACAGAACAGTGAAGGCGTGTGCTTTGATGAAAGATTTCGAGCTGTTTTCTTGCGGGGATCAAACCGAAATCGGAGAGAGAGGGATAAACATGAGTGGTGGTCAAAAGCAAAGGATACAAATCGCTCGTGCCGTCTACCATGATGCCGATATATATCTACTAGATGACCCTTTCAGTGCTGTTGATGCTCATACTGGCACCCAACTATTTAAGGTGAGTTTTACTTCCTCTACTATTGTTACTATTGTTGTATTATGCCTCTAATTAATTAGGTTAATATGCTGCTTCTAGGAATGTCTCATGGGACTACTCAGAGACAAGACCATTCTTTTTGTTACACACCAAGTTGAGTTTCTTCCAGCTGCAGATCTTATTCTGGTAAGATATAACATAACCTCAATTAATTTAAATTTCTATGGACTTCTTTAGGTACAATTGTTGAAGTAGGTGGATTGTGGCACATTTGCTGTCACATCTTCTGTTTTTTGTAGTTTGTGAAGCAAAGTTATTAATGAGGGTATGGTGTATGGTACGGGAGAGTGCCTTACTTCCGTGGACAAAATCTATTTTTTTTTGTTTTTGTTTTGTTGAAGACCACGTCTTCTTGCTGTCACATCTTCTGTTTTGTTGAAGACCAAAGGTTACAGAGTCTTCAACTTGCAATCCGAAAAGATGACTATTAGCAGAGATGTAAAGATTGATGAAGGAGCATATTGGGATTGGGAGAAGGCTGAAACCAAGTCTACAAACAGTAACCATGTTAAAAGAGATGTGGCTGTCATAGGAGATCAACCTGTCGTGGAAGATCAACTTGATCTTGAGAATGATACTAATGAAGAAATCTCGGTTAGAGGTACAAGACCTCTAGATGAGATCTATGAGAGATGTAATGTGGCTTTAGTGGCGCCTGCTAATCATGAAGAGGCTATAAAGTCAGCTAGTTGGAAAGCTGCAATGGAGGAGGAACTGAATATGATCAACAAAAATGATACTTGGCAGCTAGTAGAAAGGCCTACTGATAAAAGGGTGATAGGTGTAAAATGGGTTTTCAGAACTAAGTTGAATCCAGATGGTTCTGTTAACAAGTTAAAAGTAAGGCTAGTTGTCAAAGGTTACTCTCAGCAATTTGGAGTAGATTTTTCTGACACCTTTGCTCCAGTGGCAAGGCATGATACTATAAGATTGTTGATCGCTTTAGTAGCTCAAAAAGGTTGGAAGATTTTCCAACTTGATGTCAAATCTGCATTTCTTAATGGCTACTTGAAGGAGGAGATATTTGTGGAGCAACCCCCATGTTTTCTTAAAAAAGGAAATGAAGACAAAGTGTACCAGCTCAAGAAGGCCTTGTATGGGCTAAAGCAAGCACCGAGGGCTTGGTATAGCAGGATAGATGATCATTTGCTGCAATTGGGGTTCAAAAGAAGTCCTAGTGAGGCCACTCTCTATGTGCAACAAGCAGGTGATGATTTATTAATCATTTCTTTGTATGTTGATGATCTTCTTATAACAGGCAGCAACATTACTTTAGTGCAAAAGTTCAAAAAAGAAATGCAAAATGTGTTTGAGATGACTGATTTGGGAGAAATGTCATATTTTCTTGGTATGAAAATTCTTCAAACTGAGCAAGGAATTTTCATAAGCCAAGAAAAATATGCTAAAGATGTGCTGAAAAAGTTTGGCATGGAGAATTGCAAAGATGTTAGCACTCCACTGGGTTTGAATGAGAAATTAAGCAAAGAAGATGGAAGTGATAAAATTGATGCTGGAATTTATAGAAGTTTGATTGGTTGTTTGCTATACTTGACAGCAACACGACCTGATATTATGTTTGCTACAAGTTTGTTGTCAAGATTTATGCAAGCTCCAAGTGAAATACACTTCAAGGCTGCAAAAAGAGTGTTAAGATATGTGAAAGGAACAACAGATTTTGGTGTTTGGTTCAAGAAAGGAGAAGAGGTTCAGCTGATTGGATTTGTGGATAGTGATTGGGGTGGCTCACTTGATGATATGAAGAGTACCTCAAGCTATATTTTTACCATTGGTTCTGGCATGATCAGTTGGAATTCTAGAAAGCAGGATGTGGTGGCTCAGTCAACAACTGAAGCAGAGTATATTGCTGCTGCAGCCGCTGTCAATCAAGCCATTTGGCTAAGAAAAGTTCTTGAAGACTTGCATCATATGCAAGAGAATGCTACTGTAATTTTTTGTGACAATCAATCTACTATAGCTATGACAAAAAATCTTGTGTTTCATGGAAGAACCAAGCACATCAAGATCAAATATCATTTTATTAGAAAAGCAGAAAAAGAAGAAGAAGTTAAGTTAACTCATTGCAGCTCTGAAGATTAGTTTGCAGATGTTTTGACTAAAGCATTGCCCAAAGCAAGGTTCGAACAACTAAGGAAGAGTTTGGGAGTTTCCAGCAAAAGTGCCAAGGAGGAGTGTTGAAGTATGTGGATTGTGGCACATTTGTTGTCACATCTTCTGTTTTTTTGTAGTCTGTGAAGCAAAGTTATTAATGAGGGTATGGTGTATGGTCGGGAGAGTGCCTTACTTCTGTGGACAAAATTTATTTTTTTTTTGTTTTTGTTTTGTTGAAGACCACATCTTCTTGCTCTATCTGTCTCTCTCCATATATGTATTTGTTAGTGTATTTTGTTATTGGCTTATTTTTGGTAAACTATTTGAAAAACTATTTTAGGCAGATTGGTTGTAATTTGGTGGTAACCTTGGCTGGCGCAACATTTTGGGAGGTTCTTAAGGAAAGTTTTGGTGGCACAGCAAAGTGATTGATTTGGTTGCAGAAAGTGTGTAGTTGACTTAGTGAATTAATGGCTGATAGATTTGAAGTTGGTGATGGTCTTTTGATTGGGTAATGCACGGTTGAGGTTGTACACACTGAATGAATATTTTGTGAGAGAGTGTGCTGTGATTTTAGAACCGTGTACGTGAGAAAGAGATTGTAAGGCCAAGGATCACTTGATGCGTTGTGACGGATTGTGAGAACATATTTTGTATTGGTTCTTCGGAAGAAGATTTCGTTGGTTTCGGGAGGAACCCATCAAGACGAGTGGTGCTCGCTGATCAAGTCTTCTAAGAAGGTTCTAGGCAACGGCAATATCTTCAAGGAGGGAGTCGTTGAGTGTGTAAGACCGTTTCGGTCCTTGTAATCTTTTGAATTTAGTGGATTGATCACTGTCTGGGCGTGGCCCCGCAGAGTAGGTGTGCGCACCGAACTGCGATACCATTTTCTGGTGTTCTTTACGTTTCTGCATTTAGTTTCTTGCATTTCTGATTTGCTGGCTTAATATCGAAACTTCTGTTATAACAGTGTTACAGGAAAGTGTTGTAACGCTTTCTGTGACATCAATAACGAAAACAGACCTTTCAGTATCTATAATGTATTGAAGTTACTGTAGAAAGCAAAAAACACACGTTGCTATTCATTTTTTGCTCTTTCGATTGTTCTTAGTTCTTTAAGTTTGCTCTATCTATTAGCCTATTTCCATCTTCCATAAATCCAACAACAATGTTATATGTGCTTTTAATCTGCTGATCAATTCTACAGGTGATGCAAAATGGAAATATTGCACAAGCTGGAACATTTGAACAACTCATGAAGGAAAATATAGGATTTGAGATCTTAGTTGGAGCTCATAGTCAAGCACTCGAATCAATCATCGCAGTTGAAAATACTAGTAGATCAGCATATGAAACGCCACCTGATAGTGAATCCAACACAGGTTCCATCACAAATGACGAGCTTCAACAAGCGCGTCACGAATCAGATCATAATATCTCCCTTGAGATAACAGAGAAAGGGGGAAAGCTGGTGCAAGACGAAGAGCGAGAGAAAGGAAGCATCGGAAAAGAAGTGTATTGGTCTTATTTGACGACTATAAAAGGCGGAATCCTAGTTCCATTAATACTCTTGGCACAATTATCATTCCAATCACTACAGATAGCTAGTAACTATTGGATTGCATGGTCTTGTCCTACTACAAGTGGAACCAAGCCTAAAATGGGAATAAACTTCATATTATTTATTTACACAGTACTCTCAGTCGGAGGTTCACTTTGTATATTGTTGCGAGCCACACTCGTAGGAGTTGCAGGACTTCATACGGCACAGAAGCTCTTCATGAACATGCTACATAGCGTGCTCCGATCACCAATGGCGTTTTTTGATTCAACGCCAACGGGAAGAATCTTGAGCAGGGTAAATCTATCATTTATATTTTAACTTTGATCTATGAGTATGAGTAAAAATCTGTAATTTTCATGTGTATCATTCTTTTCTTAAAACTTAAACCAAAAAAAATATATATTTCTAGTGATATCCAACGAAATAACTAAATTTTGCAGGCGTCTACTGATCAAAGTGTGATAGATATGGAAATGGCACACAAGTTAGGTTGGTGTGCTTTCTCAATTATACAGATTTTAGGGACTATTGCAGTAATGTCACAAGTAGCATGGCAAGTCTTTGTGATCTTTATTCCAGTAACTGCAGTCTGCATATGGTACCAAGTAAGGATTTTCTTCTCTCTTTTTTTCACCTTTTAGTTGTACGTGAATATTTAGTCCTTTTTAAAACACCGTGTTTCGAACTACAATTTTTGCAGCATTAAAAATTTTTTAACTAGATAACAAAAAGCTTGTGAAATTTTCTATCAGATTTGTTAGTATTTTTGGTAAGGAAAGAAAAAGTACTCCTTATAGCTGACATGTATATGTAGATATTTCATTGAAATGAATCCTCCAGAATAGCTCTAGTTTCATCTCTTTTCTCTTAGTAGATGGTTTTGGTGATAACTAACTAGCTGAGGGTAATTCCTTCAGCGGTATTACATTCCAACAGCTCGAGAACTGGGGCGGTTGGAAGGAATACAGAGAACTCCAATCCTCCACCACTTTGCAGAATCATTAGCAGGCGCTTCAACGATTCGTGCTTTTCAACAAGAACGTCGATTTACTGATTTAAATCTTTGTCTTATTGACATTCACTCAACGCCATGGTTTCACAATGTAGCTGCAATGGAATGGCTTTCTTTCAGACTGAATTTACTATCTAACTTTGTTTTTGCCTTCTCATTGGTTTTGCTCGTAACACTACCGGAAGGAATCATCAATCCAAGTGAGTATTGCAAACTCGAATTATGACTGGTTCATATGCTTATGTGACGACCTTAATTTTTTGTCATCATCATATGCTCATACTTACCATTTTTTAACCACTATCATTTACTAGTTATAACTTCTTAAAATTTCATGCCATTTTTTTTTACCATGTAAGTTAAAATGTTGTAGCATTTAGTTAGCATTCTGTTTTTAGCCATTCTTAAAATGCTGTAGCATTCTGACAGCATTCTGTTACATTAGTCATCAAAATACATAAAACACTATTTTATTTTACATATAAAATTCAACAGCGTTTTCAAAACACGTGATGCCTTCACAACCCACTTGCCCACATTCCACTGCTACATCCTCTTTGCATGCCCAGCAACAAGTTCAAGGAGCCGGTGCCTTAACCGTGCTTCCTACAACACGAACAAACTTAATGAGCTTTCGATCAACAAGTATCAATAGGTCATAATAGATGTAATAATTATGCATACCCATATATGCATTCATGTCATATATCATAATACATTCTGTGCTATTAAAATGTGTATGGCTTATGTTCTTCTTCTTTCATTACATTCTTTGTTCTGTTTTCTCATTTTAGTCGTTCACATCGTCTTTTCACGTTCTGAACGACTTTCATTTTCTGTTTCTCATTCTTTTCATTCTTCTTTACAGATACCATACCTTTATATAGAATGGTTTCTGTTTTTCATTTTCATGTCTTTTACTTCTTATGGGCCCTGTCCTGTTGTACCATAGCGCACATAACCAGTGAAGAGTGGGGTAGCTAACCAATCCAACTCAGTTACGGTTTCATATCTTTCATAGTCTCATAATAACCTTTCCTTCGAAGGCTGGTACAAACAGGACGTTTAGTCTCTTACCGTTTATCAATTTTCTCATTGAAACGGTAACTTTAGTTAAATTTTATTAATTTGTGCATTATTGAGCATTTTGTCATGAGATTAACTTTTCGCTAAAGTTTAACTTTTCATTTCTCTTAGTTTGATCTTGACTTAACATCGATACAAACTTTTTGCAGAATAAAGTTCTACGATTACATAAGTCTTGTAGATACCTACTCAACATAGTATCTAACATTCAAAATTCTACTATATGCACAATTTTTGTGCAATATAGAAAAGTAAGCTTGTTCGTGATATAGCCATAGAAAAACTATTGTACTTACCGAAATTTCACTAACAATGCGTCCTTTGTCTCCCTTGCTGCTGTTCGATTTCAACCGTTAATCGGCCCTATTGCATAAATTTTTTGATCGTTAGATTCAAAATCTAAGATCAATAATTATATTAAAATTTACGTTGGAAAGGTCTACAATCCTTATGTTTGGTATTCAACCTCAAACTATTTCCTATCTCAAGGATTTGCACTAAAACCGTGCAAATTACTCAGTCATGGGCCTAATTTTCAGTTGCAGTCTAAAACTGTGAATTCTCGTTGTGTTCGGTTTCTAACCATCACCAATTATCGAAACATCTTTCTTTTCACACTTTAATCCCATATTCCTCTTGAAATTCAGTTTTAGTTCAAATTACTCAAACTAAATTTCGACAGAGTTTCGCCTTATTTTTCTCATTTCCCGAGTTTTTAATAACTCGTTCTACTTCCGATTCCGGTACCTAGAGTCAAAATTCACATTCCTGAACACAGATTCCAACATAATATTGAACAAAAACACATGTTCTTCCTCAATCTAGGCTCACGGATTTTCAAAGAAAATCCATCAAAACTTCGTTCAATCGTTTTAATACTTACACCGTTAGACTCCTATTACGATGCTCTACAAAACCTCGGTTTTGATTTTTACTTTAACGGAAGTTTTCCGAGATGGGTTACTATTCATCTAACTCAAGAAATCATAGAATTCTCATTTTTAAATCCGAAATCTTACGTCTAGAAGTTGAGGTTTTTCACTGGAACGCCTCAGGTTATATTTCTACCGGACTGAACGGAAGAAATCTCAATGAAAATACTTGATTTTCCTTTCTCCGTCTCTCTCTAACAACTCTTTTTTTTTCTTTCTTCGTAACTCTCTCACGTCTCTTTCCTTTTTTTTTTTTCCTCTGCTATGCTTTACATGAAATATATAATGTAAGTAATGGCATTACACCAGAAAGTTTCATTCCTTACGTATGAAGTATATAACGTGAGTCATCAAGTCTCACATTTAAACGCCAGGTGGTGTTATTGCATGTGAAACTTATGCCCACCTCACGGTAATATTCTTTTACTTGTTTTTTATAACCGCACTTTAAAGATAAGCTTATATATATATATATATATATATTTATATAACTTAGTTCAATCTACTTTTCTGGACTGTCGAGTACCATGGGTCAAACTTCTCATGTTCAACCCAATTCTCTTGGGTATTTTATTAGTTAATTTATTTTTCTAAAATTATCATTTAAATTGATTCAGAATTGTCCAAACGCGTATCCTTACGGTACTCATTTTTTTAACAATTTTCTGCTTAAATTGACTCGGAAAAATTCTGTTCAGAAACTTTTGCGATTTTCTTTACGTCTAATATTTCTACTCTTTTTCAAACTGATCATTTGGTCACAAACCAAATATTTTAGTTTTTCATAACTAAAACATACTCGCTAAAATTTTTAACTTTTAACTGATATTTCACTATTCATAACTGATATTTACGAATTTTCTTTGTAAAAATATTTGTGTTATAACTTTAAACTTTTCGGGAGATTTTACCCCGTACATAAAGTGTCTACATAACATTTTTTTAATTACATCAAAATTCTACTACTCATTATTTCAGAAAGGATTTCGGTCAAATACTGGACTGTCTGGATTAGACATAAATTTTTTCCGGTCATTACAGCTTGCCCATCTAGTTTTCTAGTTTCAACATAAAAATGAGTCGTGAAACGAGCGCTAACTAAGTCGAGTTCGATTCTTTACAGGTATAGCAGGTTTGGCCGTAACATATGGAATAAATCTAAATGTTTTGCAAGCTTCTGTTATATGGAACATATGCAATGCAGAAAATAAGATGATTTCAGTTGAAAGAATTATTCAGTACTCGAAAATTCCAAGCGAAGCACCTCTATTGCTCGAAGATTCCAGACCGCCAAACAACTGGCCAGAAGTCGGAGAAATTTGCTTTAATAATTTGCACGTAAGCCTCTCTGTCTCTATATATATTTGCCAACATCAATGTCATAAAGGACTTGAACTTACTTTTACCTCTAACATGCTTAGTCATTCACATTTCACAACTCTTCCCAATGGCCGCAATTCTGACGTCTTAACAAATGCTGACATTTTTGTTCAATTGACCGAAATGCAGATTCGATACGCTGAACATCTCCCATCTGTCCTGAAGAACATCAGCTGCACATTTCCCGGGAAGAAGAAAATAGGAGTTGTGGGAAGGACAGGGAGCGGGAAATCGACCCTCATACAAGCCATTTTCAGGATTGTTGAGCCCAGAGAAGGAAGCATCATAATTGATGGTGTGGATATATGCAAGATTGGTCTCCATGACTTGAGGTCTAGGCTTAGTATCATTCCACAGGACCCAACAATGTTTGAAGGAACTGTTAGAGGAAACCTCGATCCACTAGAGCAATATTCCGACTCCAAAGCTTGGGAGGTAATACTTTAAACTCGTGCAACAGTTATCCAATCCTCATTCAACACTCTGAGGAATGTCTACCAAATTCATATTGGATTGTAATAAACTTTTTATTTGCTCATTATGTTTGAATTTCAGGCTTTGGAAAAATGTCAGCTAGCTTCTTTAGTCCGTGCACAGGAGAAGAAACTGGATGCCACAGGTCAGTTTCATTCATTAAGCTTTGATTATAATTATTCTATATCCCTTATCTACTTATAGCTATATATTGATTCAAATTTACACCCTATTAACAGTGGTGGAAAATGGAGAGAATTGGAGTGTGGGCCAAAGACAATTGTTTTGTCTGGGAAGAGCTTTACTAAAGAAGAGCAGCATTCTTATATTGGATGAAGCAACTGCATCAGTGGACTCAGCAACTGATGGAGTGATACAAAAGATCATCAGTGACGAGTTTAGAGATCGGACGGTCGTCACAATAGCTCACAGAATCCACACTGTTGTAAATAGTGATCTTGTTTTGGTCCTCAGTGATGGTAAGTTACCAAAACATGATATCAATATAATTGTGTTATAAGATCACATACACAAAAGATTCATGACAGCCAAGAGTAAGGTTACGTGTATAAACTTTTATCGCAGTTTTTTTTTAATATCAATAAAAGAATAACAATTCACATGTCACGTAATTTCTGATAAGGGATTATGATATTTAAGTTTTTTTGTGCAACAGGAAGGATTGCAGAATATGACACGCCCGCAAGACTACTCGAGAGAGAGAATTCCTTCTTTTCTAAACTCGTAAAGGAGTACTCCATGAGAGCAAGGAGCTTCAACAATATCGAGTAGGGCCTGCAATATGAGTCACGACACGACTTGAAAATGACAAGAATTTTGCGGGTTAGGGTTGAGAAAAAAGAGGTTCGGGTCAGAATTGGGTCGACCTGAAATTGACACGAAAAATATAGGTCAATTTCGGGCTGGACTCGCCTAACCCGAACACGACACGAAACTCATAAAAAACTAAAAAAATACATATATTTTTCAACACATATTTTAAATTTTATTATGAACTTGTGATATCATAATAGTTATACTCAAAATCTTATGCTATTATTTGCTTAATTTCAATGGATGTTATTGTAATTTAGTGTGTTATGAATTTTAAGTTATTTCTAATATGTAAAAAACTAAATAAAAGTATACAATTTTCGTATCAATTTTGGATTCACGGGTCAATTATGTGTCACGGGTCATTTTCAGATCGTGTTGTGTCAACTCGTAAAGTGGTCGTGTCGTATTCGTGTCGTGGTTTTTAAAAAATTTCGTGTCACGGGTCGTGTTCGTGTTGACTGTAAATTTTTAAAAAACAATCAAAACACGACACGAACACGACACGTGACACGAATTGCCACCCCTAATATCGAGTAGCTTCACATTTTTTGAAATGCTGCATTTCAATGGATAGTACAGTATAAGATCAACAATATATCTAGTAATTGTTAGGAATGCCCTAAGGAGAGAAAATATATTTTATGTATTTTATTTATTTTTGAACTGATTAATAATATACAAGAGGTTATTCATTATATTGCTATATGTCCTCAATTTATTTACATGTTAAAGTAATTAAAAAAAAATATGGCTCATTGACTATTTGATGTTAAACTGTTAGGATGTTGCATGCAATGGTTCTTTTTGTATGCAAGATAGACAACATTCTAAAGTAAATAGTCTAAATCCATAGTCTATAGTCAAAGGGGTTAGAGTGAGCATTTAGTTCATGTTAAGACTATTATGTGGTCTAAAGCCAATTAGGGAGATGGTTTGTCTTGACTGTCTAGAGCAAGTTGACTCCCGAATAGAGACATAGATATGTTGCCTAGTGGTGGTGACATATTGGACTTGGACTAAAGTGTGATTAATCTCTATAGTCCGCTTGAATAGATTAATTCACTTTTGATGTTCATTATGCAATAACCTTAATCCCGAATATGTAAATAGCTTCATGTATATAACTTGTGTACTTAGATGTTCCAAAGGCTAAGGCGTCTCAAAGTAGTAAGCTAATAGACCGGTTCATTGGGTACACAATTTATATTCGATGAAGGGTTTACTTATAGATATGGAATCATAGCTCTTATGAAGAGTAAAGGTTATGCTCTTAACGACATTATACTAGATTGGGAATGGACAAGGCCTTGGATCATTTGCATGGCAAATGATTTGTTATTCACATATAGTGAATAATTATTTTTTTATCAGATATATAATGGATCTTTAAGATAGCGTGATAAAAAAGGATTAATGGACTTTAACCTAGGTTAATCATGGATATCATATGAGGGTATTGCATATATGACAAGGTCATTAGACAAAGTAATCTACTGACTTACATAATTTGATATATAATTGAGAGTGCAGTTTTAGGTTTATAGTTGCATGACTCAAAAACTAATAATTATGTAATTGTATTATTTGGTATAGAATAATGATTACATGAATTATTGGAGCCTATATTATATTTGTCAAAACGGTCCCTTTACTAGCTCCGCGTAATTCATTTATGGGTGGTTATCAATTGGGATATTCATTATGGCTTTAATCCTTGTACTTAGTAAAGAGACAAATTTGGGATACCTCACTTATGGTGTAGGCATTTTTCTAAGCTAAAAATAGAACCGGATTTTTGTTTGATTTAATTAATAGGATAAATATTTATTTGAAAGATAAGATGTGAAATTTAAATTGATATAAGATCAATTTAAATTCTAGAAGATATGGATAGATTAATCATTTGAATGATTAAGTTAAATATCTAAATACTCTTATCTAGATAAATAAATATTATTTTTTTATCCTATTTGGATTTGAATTGAAACAAAAATCTTATCCTTGATTCTCTAATAGGTGGCGTTTATCTTGTGGATAAGGTGGAGAAGATTTTCTCCTAATTTAATTTTATTTTGGATAATTACTACATAATTGTTTGATTCAAATAAAGTTGACATGATTTTATTTTGAATTTAAACTAGATTTATGGAACATTATCCATGAAGATAAATCATAAGATAAGTGTAATTAAATTTTTGAAAAATCTAATCCTAGTGGTGGCTGAATTTTCTAAGCCTAAATTAGGTGGAAAAATTGTCAATTTCAAGTATAAGAGGAGATCAAAATTTGAAACAGAATTTTGGATATCACATCCTATGTGGTGGCAGGTTTTTCACAAGAAAAAACCTAGCAATTTTCGGCCACAGGAGGAGATAGGGGAGAGATAAAATCTTTTCCTAAAATCCCACCTAGTGTGCTAATATAAATAGGATCCAAACGACTCCTATATTTTTTTTAGACCACAAATTCTCAGGTGAGTAAATTTGTTATTATACCTCTCACTAATTATAACAAATTCTAGAGATATGAGTGGTTGGAAGGAGAAGCAAGCCGCGTGAATACCATTGAGAAACCGAGTGCCCTCACACTTCACCATCCGAGAATTGGAGAATAGTAAAGAATGCTAGTTGGTTGAAGCTTTCTCAGTTACATCCTCCTACGTCTTTGGAAGTCTCTTTCAAGGTATTTTAGATTGTTGAATAATTTATTGTATATGGCAATATGAGTTAGTACGATCTTTTAGAAAAAATTTTAAAATTTTACTGCGCATGTTTTCTATTTTTCCTACAGTAATTCATTTAGTCAATTCAGAAATGGAGAACTAGAACTGGAAGCTCAAGATACAATGGGCTTGTTCTTTTGGAGTTTAACTTGAGTATAATTTTTGAGTTGAATTTGAATTATAACTTGAGTTGAACTTGTAACTTGAGTTTGTGTTTGGTTGTATACATTTGAGTTATGATTTGAGATAAGAATCTTTTTGAGTTTGTGTTTGAGTGAGTTAAAACTTGAATTTGTATTTATATAGTATTTTAATAAAAACTCAATGCTGATGAAAAATTTTAATAGGGTATATGGGTTAGGTTTTATTCGTTTTTTCGTTGTCAACGTATAGAAAAAAAATAATCTCAATCAGAATTAAAACGAAAAAGTTATAGCATTTTTAAGAATAGAAAAATACTGTTTATTAATTTGAGTTCGAGTTTCTGAACTCGAGTTGAAGAGGAAACTTGAACTCGAGTTTAAACTTAAAAGAACATGAACTCGAATAAAGTTGTAACTCGAGTTGCCTTTTTTTGAGTTTTTCACTCAAAAGAACAAGCCCAACGTCTCTAGTACTCTGATGATGCCGAAGAACTAAAACTGTTATTGTAACGGCAAAGGCAATCTGAGATATTTCTCAAGTCTCGAGGACCTTCGGATTACCTTTCTTCGAGATTTAGGATATGTTCATTTGCACAATTCAAGTCATAACTCAAGTCATATTGCTACAGTGTTTTCTCTTACATAAATTTAAATTCAACTTTTTTATTACAATAGTTTTTCTCTAACATACACAACTCATGACTTGAGTTGTGCAAATGAGCACACCCTAAGTACGTCATGAGTTGTGCAAATGAGCACACCCTAAGTACGTAATAACTAAACGATAAACAACTTCTTATGTCCATTGTAAGAAAGAAGTCAGAAAAATATTAATGCATTGAGCTATTTAAAGTCTTAACAAATATGCATTTTTTAGTCGTTAAAACAATGAAATTATCGGTATATGTTACAATATGGGGATTTTATCATGAACAGAACTCATCTTCCTCATGGAGCGAAGCATGCATGGCAATCACGCAAATGGAGGGATTTCATATTTTATTTTATTTTATTTTATTTTGCAAGTTTGGGATTCTTTTCTTAATATGCTGGCTGTATATTTGGAGAGACGTACGGTTTCAACACAGTTGTAGCGCCTAAAGTCCCACATCAAATATGTATAAGAGATATCATTAGTATTTATATTGACTACTGTATTTTGCTGAGAATCAAACAGGATTTCTGAATACGGTTTTCAATCACTCATTCCAAATTTCAATTTCTGAACAGAAAACACGACAAAATGCAATTTCAAAAATATTTTTTAACTAACCCAAATGCTAACAGATTATTTCGTGCTTTATTTATGTGTATATATATTTCATTAAATAAGACAAGAAGAGTGAAATGTGATTTTATAAATTCATTTCCATCTCACGCAAATTTTAATTTTTTAATTTTTTTTGGTTTAATCTAGTCACTTTCCTTGTTATGCTTTTCTTGAATATGAGTTGTAGATGATTGTAAATGAAGCAATACGTGTCGATGTACTAAAAGGACCAAATTAGAAGTTATTACAACATAAAGTTAGAATGTGGTAGCGTAGATTTTACCTATCGTTAATTTTACACCCACCTACAATGTTTATATTATATCATGAGCTAATGTTACCTCTAAAATACTATGTGATTTTTCGGAGTAATTATCATGAGCTAATGTTACCTCTAAATGATGTGACATATGCATTTCTAACATGCTATATAATTAATTCCTATAAGATTCAGATTCTCACTTAAGAAGCATGCTAATTAATATTTATGAGTCCCCTTGTTTATTGGCATCCATCTTGATATTCTTCATCTTCTTTGAAGCTATAGGTTTTCACATTTTGCCTAATTTTATATCTGTATTTTTTTTTTTTTATGAAGATATATGAAAATAAGGCTACCATGTGTTGTTATGAGAAATATTAAAGTCTAATTTTTGGGAGATTACTTGCTGCTCTTATATTACTTTTCATACGCTCTTACATATAATAAAGTGTATTTAGCACCTAGTTATTTGTCATTCATATTGACATAAAGTTTTCAAATCATTTGTGTCCGTGTCATAAAATAGTGATTTTATAACCAAAATATATGAATCCCGAGATTTGAAAATTACGATAGTGCCATCGAAACTACCAATTAAATTTAAGTTATTATCCAAAGTTTATTATTTTAATGAATGAAGTATTAATTGAGTTTGTTATTTGTTTGTTTTTAGTGTCAGAAGAATCAAACACATGGATTCATTTTCCTGGTCTATTACCGTGCATTAGTGATGAATTATGTACTTCGAGATGCAAAAGAGCGTTTCCACGAGCAATTGAGGGAATTTGCAAAAAGGCTTTCTGAAGTAATTTAAATTAATGTTGAATTTATAAAAGTCCTAATGGTTGAGGGTTCCATATTTCTGTGCCTTTACTCAAACAATTTCCTCTCTTATTTTTTATTTTCATTTTTTAAATTTGCGTTAAAAGAATTTTAGTACTCTTTGCACAAAATTTTCCCTTAACCATGATTGGTACCTCATTAATTTTGTTTCTTTTATCATCAAATGTACATTTACATGTACCATATTATTGACCCGTTATTTAACTTTATACAACAATAGAATGTATAGTTAATATGATACGATAACTACAAGTTATCTTCCAAGTATTTTTAATCCTTTCACAAGATTGGAAGGTTGCAAAGAATTTAATCATTTCCCCACCTTCCCCTTTGGCCGTTGATCAGCTACATTGGACCATTATAAGAATTTAGTATGAGAGAATAACATGGCTGAAAGATATACAGAGAAGTGAGTAAGACGTTCTTTATTCAACCCAATTAGTATCCAAATGCTTTAGTTTTGAGAGCCATTTTTGCGTATCTTGAGATATATAGGGATTAGATGGCGTTTCTGTTTCGTTTTGGTCTTCTACAGAAGTTTGTGATACATTATCAGCTTTCTTCTCCCTTGCAACGTTTGGCTGCCTATTGGGATGCCTCACCTTGAGTGACAGCAGTCGAGAAACTTCATGGAGACCCCCCCATTTCTCCAGCGCGCGAGCAATGTCGTAGCGACCTGCGCCGAGGTCCATGAGAATTATCCAAAAAAAGAAGAACGAATACAATCGCAATAATCAACCAAGGCAAGTTCCATTTGTAGTAACTATTAGCATTGTAGTCACCAAAATATGTAATTTTCCAGTCATAGTCCAAATCAAAAGAAATTTTATTGAAGTAGCAAAAAATAAATCAAAAGAATTTTTATTTTATGAACATTTGGATCTAAACTTAAGCTAAGAGAACTTATAATCAGTGCAAAGGGAAACATATACGGAAAACAATGAAATCTCAACTGGGGAAAGGTATGTGTTTTGACCTACCTGCACGCTCAAATGTCTTTCTACTGGGCATAAATGATGGATCCATTCCCCAGCTCCTTTGAAATCGACTTATCTGTAATGTACATGTAATGGAACAACTTAACGAAGACGAAAAGGAATGGAGATTTCTGCTGTATAATGAATCTAGAAAGTATATAAAACCCCATATATGGAAAACCATATTTACAATTATAACTTTTATCATTTTTGCTACGCAACCTCGTGAACAATTTGCGACGTTACATTCATTCACTAATTTAAGAACTAAATATGTTTGTGTGACTAAGGGTATCATTTTAAGTCAGTTAAGTAGTGCTCATCATGTCTTGATTTAAACCCAAGTGAAACCAGCATGAAAAGTAGGGTTTAACTACCAAAAACCTACAACTCAAAGCTTTATGTAGTACCTCTTCCTGCAAATTTTCAAGGTTGTCCCAGTAACCCTTTGGTTTACGATGTTTATAAGCAAGGGAAAGGTTCATTAATGATGCTATCCTTCTAAATCCACCCATGCGTGTAATTGCCTTCTCAATATCAACCCTTCCATGTAAACGAAGTTGCTTACGCATGGGCATGAATCCTTCCTGCCCATGTTCTGAAATGAACTTTAATAGTTCAGACTTTAGAATTTCTATATCCCTCTGCAGGCCTGGGACCCTTGGCCTTTGTCTTGATGAACTTTGACAAGCGGAATCAGAAATTTCATAGGCCGCTGTATCGAAATCTTCATCACTGTCAAGATCAGATGAAGTGATTTCTCCTTCCATATATATCCTCTGATCACATTGTACTGAAGAGTGATCTGCCTCCCTCTTCTCTACATAGTCTCGAATTGCACACAAATTTGAAGGAAGATCTTCATATATAACCTAGCATCACAAGATCGTATAAGCAATTTGATGCTTGGAAAATTACCCGAGAAACAAACAGTATGACTTTTCATTAAAAGATAGGTTGACCACAAAAATAAAACAAGTTTTAAGATTAAATTTCATTGGTTAAGAAATTCCTCGCATATGGAAGACTAAATAAAATTTATATTGTCCAGCTCCACGGAAAAATACTATTAAAGAGTCCGTGTGATTTTTGCAGTGAATTACTCCAAAAGTGACGCATAACCTATGAATAATGGTAACTCATGAATTATGTGGAGCATACAAAAGAAAGTCTAACCAAGAATATGAGATATACCGACCTCTTCCATAATAGCTTCAGAAAGGAATGTATCCTTGTGCATTTTTGACTCAACAGTGTATTTTAACAGGGTGTGATGACTCCCTAGCTGCTCAAGAAGCCATTTTCCTTCAAATGAGTCAAAGTCACCTTCAACCTGCTCAAAACTGATCTCTTGTTCATGACGCTCACACAAGTCTAGGACAACACGCGCATGAAGTACCATGTAGAGAAGGCCCTTGCACCCTTCCTGCATATAATTTCAATATCAGAAAGTTAAAAGCAACAATACGGAAACGTAGAGATCTTACATTTCAAAGCAATTGGGCAATTTATCAACTACAGTGGAGAAGCACGAGCAGAACCACATGCACATAGAAACCCCATAATTAAAGAATAAGGTATCGCATTTTAAATTTGTAGAACATATAGTTAATACCTGAAGAATGCGAACTTTGTTGTTTTCTCTTGATAATATCCTACAAATTGCTAAATTTGGAACTATCCTGCAGAATTAGTTACACGAACAAATGACTTAGCAAGATAAAAATAGGGGGGGGGGGAGATCAGGCTACAAATGATCATAGAATTTCCCTTCCATATCCATGCTCAAGGGTAGAGTTATAGTCAGAAAATTCTTTGAAAAAAAAAAGGACATCACTTACTCAGGAAGACTTTCATAATCAGTCAAAACGTTCCATACTTCACGAACTGAAGCTTTCACTGTTATGCTAGCCGCAACGAATCGATGGACACCTCCATTTTCCTTCATGCAAAAATCATTTACCAACAGAAATAAATAAAAGTAAATTCCATGGAAGATTATATGGGAAGATAAGAATAGTTTGGGGTCAGAAACCTACCAATAGACCATCAAATCTTCGAAGGTGAACCTCATCCACCATGCAATGCCGATCCAGACTGCAAGCTTTTCCAAGTATGCCCAATTTACTATTTGACTCACCAATAGACGGGGTCAAGGGACCAAAATTAGAGACTGAAAAACCATTTTTGAACTCTGTAGGTGGTAGATTATCCTTTCCATCCAAAGCAACATCTCCATCTATTTGAAATGACCTACTAACAGCCGTGGAAGTTCTATCCAAGGAATTTTGAGTGAAGGCTATCTCCTGATTCCCATCGAAATTTCTTTCAGATCTACAAGCTAAAGCTCGAAGATTAACCGGAAGATCCGATCTAATAATTCTTTCCAAGAAGATGGCAGGAAAGTTGAATCTTGGTATCACATTAACTTCATATGATAAAATGGACGACGATGATCTGCAACAATCAGGATGAGAATAAAACAACACTATGATTTCAATAAGCGAGTGCTACACAGCTATGCAGATGAACACAGAGTAGATACATATCATATGCGCGTTAGTAATACTGTAAAAATATTGTACACAGTTAAGAATGTTATCCTCCAAAGGAGATATTCTCCAGAGCCAGTGTATGCCAAAAGCCAGAACTTTTCAGATTGGTATTGAATTTCAAAAAAAATAATCTGATCTTCACAAAAACTTTAAAGAGAAATAGGAAGAAGACAAAGTTTTGGTGGAATAATTCTTCTTATTCGTATAGGGGAAATATAAGGCTATACATAGCCAACTGTACAACAATTAGAGAAAAGTAAAATAAAGCTACAAAAGGAAATAATCAAAAGTCAATACAATTCTAGACCTACAATCACGAAAGCTAAAATCATGGAATTATAATGAAATCAAGGAAATCAAGGAACCGAGAAATCTCATTTAATCTAATATCTCCAATAGATCTTACCTCGTCCCACATTTTACAGACCATTTGCCTTCAAACTTTTTGAAATCCCCATCAACCATTGAGAAATGGAGTTCACGATCATAATCCTGAAAAGAAAACAACAGATGTGAACAAAAGTTGCGAGAGATTAAAACAAAATATTCTAAAACGACAAAGAACAAAGTAAATGGAAAAATGCAAGTAGTTTCAGAAAACTAAAAATAATGCCTTCAAGCTTTAGTTTCAAGTGAGACGCATACAAAATAAAAAAATGCCATCAAACCCACTTGGGTAATAGGTGGAATGATCCTATTTTCTATCCGCAAGCTCACCAAATGGTAAGCAATAACTTCGAGGACTTAGATGATTACAGAATGGATAAATTCTTGAAGGTCCAAAACAACCCGAGCTTCAATATGCCAATAGAGTGCCCTTTGGAAGCCTCTCTGTTCCAACCATATCCGGCCGGGATATGGGCATGGAATTCTCCCACTGCCAATTTAAGAACAGAATAAAACACACCATGAAACAGTCAGCTAAAGAACCATTTTCCAAAGAGACATACTACCCTTAAACATATATGATGAAATAGTTAACAATTTCCATTTACAGATTATGGCATCTGTTAAAATACTAATACAAAATTAAATCGATCTTATTGCAAAGCTAGTGTAGAAACTTTTATGCATACAACAAAAATACTTGATTAGTGAAGCCAAAAGAGTAACACTTCTGAACCTAGCAGAAGAAATGTGAAGTCAAATGAAAAGTTAGTTTACAACTAAGTTCTTCAAAAAATCGGGGTCTGTTGGTACATAGGTTGAAACCGTTGTTCGAACCAGTGATTTTGATTTTAACTTTTGAAATTTAAATTTTTTATGAGAAAAAAATATAATAACAGAATCAAAATTATGAGTTTACACTACAACAGAACCCATATACTAAACATACACTTATTGTTTAAGATGACTATCTAAGAGTGAAATTAGTAAAATGACTTTTTTTTTAAATAGTTTTACTCGAAACAGCTACTCGGTCGTGATCGTGCGGAGTTGTTCCAAAATCATTTTACAAATTATTTAACGTTATTTTTCTTACTAAAGTACGTATATCCTGTCACAAATTCACACTATTATATTAATTTGATATGGTTCAGACTAGTCAAGTATTAAACTTTTAATCAAATTATCACTCAAAAACAAAAACTTTTAATCAAGCTAATGAGACATAATTAGAAAATGAAAAGAATGATCGAGAATAATGACTACCTGGAGACAAGATTGGGAACGAAATCCGCAAGACGCTCGTAATCCGTGAGCGAATTCCAAACCGTTTCGACATCGGCGTGGACGAAAGTCTCCGCCTTGATTCCGCGTTCCCTCCACGAAACCACCTCCACTTCGCAATGCACCTTTCTCTCCTGATCCTCCCCTTCGCCTGCTACTCCTTCTTCTTCTCGGCACCTCTGCTTCCTCTTCGCCTCGCTCGGCGAGTAACGAGTCGCGGAGGAGTGGTTCCACTCGGAGGAGAAGGCCAGGCAGTTGCGTGGGGACTGGCGGCGACGGAGACATGGATTGGGGAGGTGCTGAGCATTTCTAGGGTTTCGAATGGGGGAGAATTGGGGAGAGAGAGTTCCGAAGTTGAACTTCGAAGGTTGGCAGTTGGAGGTGACCATGGGAGTGAGTTGCAGTGTGAAGTTCTGTGTGTGTGACTCGGTGAGTGAGTGAGTCGGATGGTTTTTTTAAAGGGAA